CATAATACAGGGCTGCTGGAACCTTCGCTGACCCCACATGACCAGCCTGCATCATTCTCACAGATATTTATCAGTCACTCTTTCTGTTCAGGAGCTATTAGCACCATGTTTCAGCGCCGGCTTCTCAGTGCGTTTACAGCAGGCGGTGTGTCGGATGGATCTTGGACGGATTGAGCTTGACGTGTGTTGCTGTGGATCAGTGACACACTCTCGATGAAGGAAAAATCCTCTCAGCGCTTTTTAATGTGATGGACTGCTAATTTGGAAAGCTGTGCTAGCTGCCTCATCAGATTTCAACAAGAAACTGTAAATATATCAGAAAGTTCTGAATGCTAATAAATGCACTGTAACTTTCTACAGTGAAAACATCTTTTATGAGCAGAATCGAAATGTCAGTTGTTAAGAAAGGAAGACTTCTACCTTAAGAACAGTCAACATTAGTCTACAAGCACAGGTGCCGACTTTCCACAGTGGATGGGGCGAGGAAAGTGGATGTAAGAGCAGGAGTCATGGGTGAACATATTTAAATTATTAATAGCTTTTTCGTTTAAAATACAGTGTTTATTAAAAGTCATACAGTGGCTGTGCTTCTCCACAGGCCCCACAGTGAACCTGGCACATTAGTTCAGGATCAGCCTAATATCTACATTCTGTGCGCTGATCATTTTTACTCTAATATAATAAACAACATCATTTTAGTTTAGTTTGTCTCCCTTATTATTAGCTACAGAGGGGACTTTAGGGGTCAGCTACAGTGACCAGAAAAACACTATTAGAGCAAACTGAATCAAAACAACTTCATTTATGTAATTTACTAATGAGGTGATTTTAAACTACCAGAAAAATTAAGAGATAAAGTAAATAATGTGATCATTTTGCTCTTCTGTCGTCTCATGATGTTTTTTCCAGCCGTAGAAGACCAGCATGCCAAGCTATGGCTGAAAGGGCAGCTCAAAGCTGACTGAAAACCCAGCAAAAAATCCAAAACTAGCCCAAAATGTGTGTCCAAATGTTTGAAACAGCATTAAAAACTCACTGAATATTTTTTTAATAATCTCTGTACATCTAACAAATCTTCTAGCAATGTGTTTTAATCATAAATACTCTTATGGTCCTTAAAACAGTCTTTTAGTTAGTAGTGTGTGAGTGTTGACTTACAGAAGTCTCATTTTGTGATAATGATGATGATGCTTATTATTATTATTATTATTATTATTATTATTATTATGTGCTTGTATGCAAGTTTAGAGTGATCAGGCTGGCTGCCAGACTGGCCATCAGCAACGTGCCACCAAACGTGCTACACTGTTTAGTCCCTTCTCTTACTGTACCTGCCTGTTTGTCCTTAGGTTGCAGCTTTTCAACACCAGGACAAAATGCTTTCTTATGATGATTCACTTTAATATTCTACTGTCTGCAGTCAAAGCATCAAACCTTTTCCAGTGGCTGTGGTACATTTTAGAAAGTAGCACAAAAAAACTAGCCTGGTTTGGTGGGAAAACCATCAATCTGGCAACGCTGCATGGGGAAAAGAACCAGTAGTTTTTTCTGGTTGCCATAGTGACCCTGATTGCTAAAAATCCCTGCTGTTTACCAACGATTACATGCATTTTCACTAAAGCAGCTGTTTTCAGACAGTTTCAGACAGCAGCTTCACTCTGATGGCTTTTCACAGGCTTTGCGCTACTACTGGAGGGCCATTACACCCCCCACCCCACCTCAGTGATGCCAATGACCCAGTGCCCCCCTAAATCCCATGTCGCGTATGGCTACTACAATAGCGACTGATGTGATTCTGTGCCACCATATGAAATTTTCACAAAAAGAAAGATGTTTTCAGACGTTTAGAGGAACATCCAAAAGTGGCAAATTGGATCCCAACAACTTTCACTTGTTGTGTTCATGTTTTGGTGTGAAGTTTGATCACAAACATGGTCAGTTACTAACATTCACAGGAAAAACAACAAAAAATGAAAGTCGATAGGAAAAACAGACGGAGCACTGAAATGAGTTTCAGACTGTATCCACTAAAATGTGCACTGCTAATAAAGTCGGCGCAGAACAGTGAGGTTACGTTAACGCTCTGCTACAAAGACGTCACTCCTCTGATACAGAAATCCATGGAGTTACAAACACAGACACCCAAAACACTCGATTCCCATAACCAGTAGATTCAGCTCACAATCAGCATTGCATTTACTGAGTGCTCAGGTTCCGTTCTAGATAATCAGTTGGCTCTACTGTTAGTTTCCATAAGCAGAGGCTCAATAAATACGGTGTTGTTTTTACCAATGGAGAAGATGGATTTACACTATCACTACGTCCTTCTTTATTTACTCACTGAGGGTCAGAGTGGGCCATGATCAGAGGTAGTTGGGTTGCTGGGTCAACAATTTTCCATTTTAGACACGACTGCTAAACTTAGCGTCTCATTCCAAATAATATAATAAAACAAATGTTTAGCATGACTGCAAGAAATGCTGCATTTGACTGAACTTGGAATTACATCCTTTTTGAACCCCCTGTGTTTGAGCTACAAAGTGGGGAAAAAAATATGGACACCTACATCAAAGCAAGTATTGCTAGCAACAACCTAGCCAGCTAATGTTAGCGATATAGTATAACTTTGAAGTTTACCTTCACAAAACAGCAAACTTCATGGTCAGTGTTACAGATTTAACTGACTACTTCTCTGAATGTTGATGAATCTAAAGCAAATAACAATATAATCTCTTATAAAAGTAGAGAACTGGCAATTTATTACACTTGTGGTGTGAGCAGCCATGTTTTATATCACCTCATATGCTGAACTCATGTTCCTGACTTTCTGAGAGGGAATTCCCAGTTGAGGGGAGCTTTTTCTTTGTTTTTTTTCTAGTCAAAGATCGTAAATTATGAGTTACAAGTTCTAGCCGTTTGCAGCATCATAGTTCTAGTTTGCATTTGATGAACTTGATCAATGCCTTGCTCACAAATTTGTTCCATCGCTACCGTTATGGGATTGGATGAGCTTTAAAGAACATTGACGAAATAATGAGCTGAAATGAATGATAATCTAAATGTAGAAATTTTGAAATTTGACTGAGTGAGTTAGAATTTCTTATTTGGCTGAATTGAGTTCATAACGAAAATACGTGTCTGGGTAGAATTTGTCAAACTTTTGGTGTTGGATTGTGGTGAAATCTGCCACTGACGAGGGTACGCCCTAAACCCCCCTAATTCTTCTAGTCCATGCTCATTTACCATCTGAAGTGCAGCTGACAAGTAAAACAAGCTAGCTAGCATAGCAGTGAGTGTGTTTACATGCACTTAATAATAGAATAACTGCAGAAAATCAGATTTTGTCAGTAATCCAATCAATGCGTTAATTCGAAAGAAATCAGAGTAAGGGTACACGTGAAATCTGATTACTGAGCTGAAATCCAGCCTCTTTATCAAAATTTTTCATTGGAATTCTAAGAAATCGGAGTATTCTGTTTTACATGACCCTTTAAGTAATCAGATTACTGCAGAAATCCGATTATGATCAGATTATATACTTTGGACTATAGTCCAAACCTAACTTTACGTTCTTACCAATTTTTAGCCCATAATTTCTCATGGTTGTCACCAGACATTCAGGTATGAGATTGAATTTGGCCAAGTCAAACTTTTCGCAAAACCTGTTCATATTTGTATGGCCATTAGCATTTCAGCTGTAACTGCATCAGTACCTGCAAAGGAACACATTTATGGGTGAAGCAGCTGCAAATTACCAGCAAAGCTCATGGCAGCAGTGGGAGCTACAATATGAGCACTAGCAGTTTAGCCAATAAACCAGTTGCCCTTAATCTAAATGCAATTATGCAGGAGTAGGAAGGCACTAAACACACTCAGGGTGGTGATTCGTCCATTAGGCGGTTCTGGGTCAGACTAACCCTGTCAATTATGCTACACTCGATCTGGCAGTCTGAGAGGCCAGGCATGAGCGTGGTCCGGCCGGGCCTCCCTCCGTCCTCTCTCAGCTGCCAGCCATAGACTTTAATTGGTTTCAGAGAGCGCTAACTAAAGTGTTGGGGTGAAACACAATGGAAGTTTTCAATGAGAAAATGCAGAGGCCGCGCCGTTGGTTCACGGATGAGAGGGTTCTGCTGAAGACCTGCCTGCTTCTGTATTTATTTCCCCCTTCGTTCGCTCTGGGGGGCCCAGTGTGTCGGCGGCAGAGGGAGAAGTATAGCGCAGGAGGCTGTGCAGTAGATTAGCACAACAGAACAGGAGGCTATGCAGTAGATTTAGACTGTAGCATTTTGAACTGGATAAGATTCTCAGGTTTGTTGAATTAGAAACTAAAAATTCTAGAAAATGTTTCCATTCACACCACAGCATTACTAAAAATGACTAGTTTTGTCCTTATAATACAGTGGATAGCAGCTAAACTCCAACCTAAGGAGCACAAGTTGAGCTAGTTACAGGTGCTACATTTCATTATACTCATCTATCCAAATGCATGCATTTCCTTTGGAAACAGTGTAGCCTCACAATCCGACCACGACTCCTAACAACAAGCCAGTGTAGATTTCACAAACAGACATGGAGACACGTAAACTCATCAGTACCTTTGACTCAAAAAAGAAAAATCCCATGTCAGTCAAAAATCCATATCAGGCTCCTGCATCTTCTCGCAATCGCAAACATCCACAAGAGGTCTTGACCCTTCGTTAGCATCTGAATACGTGGACAGAACTTACAGCCACAGCGAGCGCAGCGGTAAGGTTATCAACCGAGTAGAAAAATGGTAGAAAAATCTCTCCAGAAGCCAGAACTCCTGAACCGTAGGGGCTGTGGAATGTTCACGTATGGCGGAACATTCTAGAATCTTCCATTCTAGAGTGGAATCCTGTGGAACCTTCTGGAATCCATGACCAGCTTTGGCACATCCCACAGTAGAGAGTAACACCCGCTGAATCACAGCTTTTGAGAACATAGCCTTCTCAGCATCATCCAGTCGGTGCCTTCGCGTCTCAGGGCGCTCGTTCCTTCCCTGCCCTGTCCGAGTCTATCGCCTGAAGGACGGTGCTGGGTCCGTTAGTGCGCTGCCATTCGGACGAGTTCATAGAGGTGCGTTTGAGGATCCGGTTGACGATGTCGGAGCAGGTCTTCCTGTACTGGTGCCGGAGCAGGGAGTAAATGAAGGGGTCACACGCTGCTTTACTGTAGGTCAGGCATTTGCACAGCACTCCCCACTGCTGGCTTATATGAACAGCAGGCCAGAGCTCCAGAATCCTGTCACAGAGAGAGACAAGCAGAGATGCTTTTAGTTCAGTTCTTCATAATTAAGTTAACTTCTTTACTTAAACAGTGTAATATGTCATCTGGAACAGTGCATAAATGACTATTTCACCTTTCTTAAAACTCATTAATGACTTCCTCGAGTTATGTCACATATGAATAAAAGCACTTTAAAGCACACATCTGGAAAAGCATGAATAAAGCACACATCTGGAAATCCACAGGTCTTTATATATCTCTTGTAAGCTTGTAAATTCTGTGACATTCATAAATCCTCCTATACGTATAAGATTTGCGCAGTGTTGTTGTCTTTCGGCTCTGACTTTGCAGTTTTCTTTGAGATTAATATTCTACCCACCCACCGGTCACTCCAAAGACCCACCCGTCTGTCCTCCCACCCAACCATAAATCTGCCCACCCACCTGTTCATCTGTCCACCTACGTCCATTCGTCCACTGCTCTATCCATCCATTATTTGTTTGTAAATTAATTATTTATTAATGTGATTAACACAGTGCTTTTTTATTGCTGCTGTAACCTTGAAATTTCTTTCTGCATTAATAATCCATCCACCCACTCGACAGTCCACCAACCCACCTGTCCAGCCACCAACTCATCTGTCCATCCACCAACCCACCTGTCCATCCACCAACTCACCCGTATACCCATCCATCTATCTGTCCGCCTGTCCATCCATCCGTCCGTCCATTAATTCATCTGTTTATTTGTTTGCTAGTTATTCATTAAAGTGATTAACCTCATGCTTTTTGTTGATGCTGTAACTTTGTAGTTTCCTTCTGCATTAATAATCCATCCACCTACCAATCGGTCAACCAGTCCACCTGTCCGTCCACCAACCCACCTGTCTGCATACCCACCCATCCATCTGCCCGCCTGCCTGTCCGTTCATCCATCCCGCCGTCCCTCCATCTATTGGTTTGTTTGTTTGTTAAGTATTTATTAATGTGATTAGCGATTAGTGCTTTTTGCTGCTATGGTTTTATTAGGAAAAGTCTGGCAACAAATTCCTCAAATCTTTTGAAGTGATCTCAACATGAATGAGGTGGACAAAGCACAAAAGCCATAAATCAACAAAACGTGTAATTTGAATTGGGGTGGCCAAACTTTGGCACATGGTTCATATTCCAGAAGCAGAACTGGGTTGTGGTTACTTGTCTTACGAAACAGGGAGGCACCTCAACCTGCTTGTGTTTTAGCAGCGCCCCCTCAAAACGTCCAGCGGTGGGCGAGGGAAGTGATTTGTCTCACTGTGTTGAAAATACACTGTGGACAGTTAGCAAGTTGTGTAAATATATGAATAAGAAATCAAAATGAAAACTCTGAAACAAACACTTCACTACGACCAGTTTTGAAGTTTGAAGTGTTTTATTTCTACAATATTTCTAGTATTTACATACTGACATGACTGACTGGCTGCTGACTGAAATGTCATCTTCGTTCCAGGGTTTCTGTTTCTATGGCTACGGTCCTTCACTGGAAAGCAGCTCGATCAAATGTGAGCAGGGATCCCAAAAGCTCAGAGGAAGACAAAGATGTTGTGGTGAGTGACAGACCATGGAGCGCACTGACCATCTCAATCGTCTCATCTCCGTAAGCAGTGGGTGTTTCGAAAACAGGTTGTGATTTAGCACGACGCCTTAGCCTTTACATACATTCAGTTCATTTCAAATTTAGCATCCAAGCCCCAAGAGAGCGAATCGAGGATGACAGAGGAAGAGAAAACTCTCTGAGAGCAAGAGGACGAAACTTTCAGAGGAAGGAGACTCAAAAGGGGAACTCATCCTCCTCGTCCTCCTCTGGTCGAAACCGAATAGCAAAACATCACAACAAGATCAGTCTAAATAAGAATCAGCCACGACTAATATGAAATAAAGAAAAGAAGCGAGGCTGTCATTGGGCAGAAATATATAAATAGACCAATGATAATAAATGATAACCATTATTAATGGTGGGGTTACTCTACACGACTTTTACCCTGATTTTAGCTCCGATTCTCAGTCTGAGTCTGAGCTGGTCGGCTCTGGTCTGCAGATTTTTGTGTCAGTCAGAGTCGACAGTTGGAGGGAGAGTCGAGTCGTGTTTGAGGGGCGCAGACTCAGATTTTTGACCTCCCGATCGCGTTTCAGACCAATCAGAGTTTATCAAACAGGTTTGATTTTTTGACCCGACTCTGAAAGTAACCTACTGTAAACTGATCAACAACTCAATCTGAACAGATTCCTGCAACAGCCAATGAAAACAGAGAGAGAAAGAAGAAAATACAGCAAGTAAACAAAGAGAAATGGTGAAAAGTCTCGTGTGGAGCGAAGCTTTTTAATGAGCTGAGTTTAAGGCAAAATCAAGTTTATGTACATTTAAAACTCTAAAAATACCAACTGATCACATTTTTACATCCATGATCCACTTAAACATGTTTAACTGCTGCTTCTTTACTGTTTCAGTGCAAACGTAAGTTCAGTGAGTCAGTTTGGTTCAGCAGCAGATTAAAAGTCGAGTAGTGTGTGATCCCTAATCATTTAGTGTGGATCCCCAATATTTCAGTCGCCCAAAAAACTGACAAAAACCAGTGTGACAGTGTGAGACGCCCAGTCTTTTATAATCTGATAAGACTTTCAAAGTTGTGTAGTGAAGCCAAGGCTTCACAAACAGCAAACAGAAGTCACTCACTGCTGCCCTCTTCAGGTGTTTTTAACAAACTTCATGTAAACAAATGTCACTCGCCGCTGCCCTCTAAAAGCATCATTAACAAATATCAAATAAACAAATGCCCTTGAAAGGTGTTATTAACATAGAATGCAGAAAAACAGTACATTGTGATGGTTCTGTGTGTGTGAGTTAGTTTAACCATTTACAGATCTCTCCTCAAGGAGGTCCAGTACCATCCAATACTTGGTTTACCTAATCAATCTTTCATTAAACTAAATCAGGTGCTGATGACGTTTAGGCAAGCACGACTGAAATGTGCCAAAATCGGAATCGACAGTTTCTTTGCTCCAAATACACAACTGGAAATTGGTCAATCAACTGGCCAATTCGTTTCCCATTTTGTTGGTCTATAAGCTTCCATTACCATTTAGCTAAAATAGCCTTGTAGCTCCAGAGCAAAACTGAGGAAGCAAACTTGAGACAGCAAACATGCCTTGGCTGATTGGCTGCTGAGCTGTGCCTCCTTTAGTTTCCTCAGTAAGAATCCCCCGACGTTCATATTCACACCAGGCACTCTATCTTATTATCTGGTGAACCGACTCCTGCAGCTAAGCTACATGGATACGCTGAATCTAGATGCTCAAAACAAAAGTGCTGCTAAGGAATTTAATGTCAGCTGCAGATCCACAGTGAAGCCTGGATTCCTGTTTCCTTTTTTTCCCTCCCTGCTTTCCTATTCCGCTCCCCTCTTCTCTGAAGCCGACTTATTAGGACGTTCCCCTCACGCAGAGGGATTTCCACCCTCTCTCGACCAATTTCAACTTGTCGGAATTTCTTTCACTTGGCAAAGCAAAAAGTCAGAACCCGAAGGAGGGAACAATGCAGCTCTGAGGATCTGTAACAATCCAATTAATTTTTCATCACTCATATCACGCGACCGTGGCTTGTCTTGGTGAGAGGAATTCGACTGGAGGCGAGCAACCAATTAAAAGCCCCATTATGTTTCCCTGGTCCTCATGACCCGACACACCGAGCTTTCCATTCCTATCGGGGGGACTTCTTAAAACGTCCCTTTCTGTTTGTCTTTGGGGACAATGAGTGTTGACAGCCAGAGTGTGGCTGTATTCTAATTGACCGTACAGTATAATGAAGAAAGTTCCACTGTGGAGGGAATAGAGACACAGCATCCATTACTAATGGCACTCATATAGTGCTAATGAGGCATTTCTGTATACCATTTGCTGGCTCTGTATAAACTGTGCTAATGCCGATCTGAGAAAGGAATCAATAGAGGTGGATTCAGGTCCTGAAATGTCTTCATTATGGCCTCTATTATTAGTGTACAAACCCCTAGACAATGATGTGGAACTGAACACAGACCTTGAAACCACTGTGCCTGATGACGCAATACAGATTTTCGCTCAGGTCTAATCTTTCTGTCTTGACGGTTCACATTGTTTGTGTAAGCAGTGCTGGTAGATATTTAAAAAACTAATCTATTACAAGTGACTAATCATCAGGGACAGCTTTATCTAATAAGCTACATAAGCAGCTGCATAGGTCCCTCTGCAGAGGCCTCCTAACAACTTCTGGCACCATTATGTTGTCTAAGAGGCTTGAATGGGGGGGACTGGTTAATCAGGTCTCAAAACAGGCTGAAAAATGGAAAGGAATAAGAAATGGAGACGAGGAAAAAGTTTTTAAATAAAACTTTTTTGTGGCGTTAATGTTAATGTTAATGGGTTAATGTTACGCTTATAGTTAGGCAACAAGCAGTAGTGGATCTGAGGTCTGTCTAACAGTGCAGGTTCAGCTTAGACAGGAGTTTCAGCTACCAGGTTAACTTTTTAAAAAAACTTTCTTTATTACAACTTTCTCTGTAATCCAGGTTTAGATACTCAGGCTGTGTGATGTTTACAAAGAGGCAGTAGCAAAAGGGAGGAAAAGGAAATCATACTACCTAATTATGTATAAATATTCAACCCCGTTTCCAAAAAAGTTTGGACGCTGTGAAAAATGTAAATGAAATGCAATGATGTGCAGATCATTTAAACCCTATATTTCATTGAAAATGCTTCACAGATGACATATCAAATGTTGAAACTGAGAAATTTTATTGTTTTTTGAAAAATATTTGCCCATTTGGAATTTGATGCCAACAACATGTTCCAAAAAAGTCGGAACGGGGGAACGAAAGGCTGGTAAGGTTGTGTAACGCTAAAAAAACACCGGATGGTTGATTGGCAACAGGTCAGTAACATGATTGGGTATAAAAGAGCATCTCAGAGAGGCGGAGTCTTTCAGAAGTAAAGATAAAGAAGGGTTCA